CTTAGTTGGTGTTATTACTATGGAATTGGAGTGGAACAGGATTATGAAAAAGCAATCGAATTATATGACGAATCGGTGAGGGGCGGAATTGTTGTAGTTCGTGAAGATAAAGATGAGTAATTACATAATGACGCAACAATTATAACGCTTGCTCGTGGCGTTGAAGGATATCAACCATAAGGACGAGTAAAAAACGATATTATATTTTTGTTAAATAACCATTATTTTATTGATAGTGTTTAAATTGATTTAGTTATATATTAGTATTAATATAACGACCGATCCCGTTATAATTTTTTGATCAATGTAATGGCCTTTACTTCGGTCAGACTTCGTTGTACTGATACCCGGTATACCGATAACCCGCGCATAACGATGGAAAACTCCGCTCCCAAAATCCTACACTGAACATTCCCCCATAAATAATAGTATATGCACTGACCAACTATCGTGTGTAACATTTAACAAAGACACACATTTCTGATCGGTTGATATTTCCATATTTTACAATAAACAAGCTTACTCTGTTTCAAATATATATATATATCGATAATTTATTTGCAAATTGTTAGTCTACAATAAAGTTTGATAATCTGCGTATCATCCATATATTTTTAATTATAGGCAGAAAAGAATAACCGATACCCCGCTTCGCCGACAAATTTTTCTTTAAATGCCTTAATACATATGTCAAACGGCTACTTTAATGGCACAATTACAGACCCAATCTTTTAAATTGATACGATGCTCATTTCTCATTCACTTGAGTTAACCCGTAAAATACGATAAATATAAAACTGTTTTGTTGACCGAATCTCAAGTTAAGACTGTTGATGAAAGTATGGAACGTGAACTTTGGTATTTAAGGTGTTGGATTGGGAATTGATAAGATAAGTCAATTGGCGATACGAGTCTTCATATACGTAATTATGCATAAATAGACAAAACATTGGACATTCATATACGCGTCTGTGAATAGCTTTTCAATAATAACGCTCCAGGCATCGTCAACGTAATTTGTAGTAAAATGTATTCATTCCTAACGGATGGCTCAATTTGCGTGCGGTTTATTATCTAATGAGAATGAAACTCAATTTGTATATGTAGTAAATAGTTACTGACGCTATTAACAATGAATTGATATGCCAACCAAAAATCTATGCCGTCAAACAACATGTCCATGATTCTCTCCGTCGTAAAAACAACGGGTCCACTGTGGCCATAAATAACGTAAATAAAGCATATATACAATATGCGGCAAATTGACGTACGGTTAATTGTTAATATTAAATAATTACAACCGAAATTAACATTAACTTGTCAATTAAATCATAATGATATCAACTTTTCGATATTCTCCGGTTTTCACAAACACCATGCACCAGATTAATTCTGGTATTCCAACTCGGAATGTTCTACATAACAAGTTTGATTGGATAGGCGTATCGTATTTAAAGCAATGTGTTAAAAGGTGGAGAAGGAAAATAAATTTGGTACAAGTTCAAGAGACCAGGAATGGCCTAAATTACAAATGATAACCCACCAGGAATTCGTCATCGTTTTTAATCACAATCCATGGAATGTCGATGCTATAAAATAGAAAAGCATTAGTACACTCCCAGTTACAAACAGATAAAAGATTACTTCTACGATTCGCAGAGTATAACCGCTTGTGTCACTGTAATTATATCACAATAACTAAAACCAATCCACCAACCATCTATCGCTTGAGACGCCATTGTATATTCAGTCTCATGTAACGTAACCGAACATGGGTAAGGCTCTCACGCTGTTCAGTAGTTAAACAAAGAAATCGAATAAATTTGTTATCGGCAGTTAAGAGCTGTTTGACGGGATTCCCGAGATCAAAATGCATTTTTAATAAGCTGAACGCACCAGCGATTACAGTACCATGCCTCAATGCTTATAGCTGAGATACTGCGGCATCGTTGTATTCACCAAGTGATGGCGACAACAAAAGGGCGATATGTGAGTAGCATACTGACCATAGATTGATTGAGTAGGATGAATGGTAACCTCTGATAGCGCCGGGTGGCTTGCGGTACAAGGCACGCAGAACCGATCCCCTACTACTATATAAATTATATGATGTGAGCAGTATTTACTATGTGGGATTAACTTGAACTATGTTCGCGCAGAGTAGAAAGTAGTCTTTCAGAATACTTGATCCAAATCGGATGATCGATTGAAATGCGAGGAAAGGATTTATGCTAAAGAAGAGGGGTCGAGGAATGCAAAGTGCCTTGAAAATGGTCAGAGCTTTCATTGAATATTAGAATTCTGGAGATGTAAATGGGAAGGTTATACGGACGGAGGGGAATTTCATTGACTATACCAAATTCATAATGTCAGAGCGGCAATAAGAATAAGGAAGAGTAGAAGCGTAAGAACTTTAATGTAAGACAATTGAGTGTTGAGTAATATGTATCATATTAAGAGAGAATCGATATCTGCAGTTGTTGCGCTGAACGAAAAGATAAAGTTAACGTGTCGAAGGAGAAACGATTATAAGCAATACGTTGAATGGGTTGGCGTTGTGTGATATAATAATTGTAATTCGGTTCCTAAACATTTCGCTTGAGTGTTCTCTCCTCGGATGATGAGACACACGTTCTTATAAAGACCGTTTATTGACAACTTTTTGGCTTGTGGCGTTTTTTTGTAGGACAATTTGCCACCGCCATCATTTGAAACAAAAATCAGAAAAACAAGACATTATTAAAACTCAAACGAAACGATTATGTGCTTTTCATGGTTTAATTTTATTTAATCTTATAATAATTAATTATTACATGATGATATTTTTTACATGAATAGGAATGAGCGTAGTTGGCATCCGTCTGCCAAACTTGGGATGTAGCCGCGTCCGAATCCGTACGTTTCCGTGATCCGTAGCCGAAATCGTCCTGTAGCCGAAATCATCCTGTAGCCGAAATCCGTCATCATGTCCTGTAGCCGAAACCCGTCATCGTGTCCTGTAGCCGAAACCCGTCATCGTGTCCTGTAGCCGAAACCCGTCACCGTGTCACCGATTGCTCCTCCACACAATTTGCTACTTTCGCGCTTTGGTGAGGTTGAGCTTGTGTTGGAGTTTGAGTTGTAAAGCCCAACCTCTATGCGGTTTTTAAATAATAAATTTTAT